GGACGGCTAGCGCAGATAGCCCTCGTGTAGCTTTGCGCGAAATTCAAAACAAACAAACCATTTTTCTTATATACATAAAAAAACCATGCGGCGTTAGTAGGTTTACATAATCATTGCATTTTTATTTCTCTGTGCCTTGTATTGTTGTTAATATCACCATTAAACATTACATTTTCCATTAATTTGTTTATCTTTAACAGGTTTTTAAATCACTGATAAACGTATTGACATCTAAGAGGACGCATTGCTAGGAGTCATAGTTTCAGGAAATGGCACTAGAGTTTTATCACATGTACTATCTTAATTTATCTATTATTTCAATGAGTTAACTATTATAATATAACAGATAATTTACTTTATATACTTTTATAATTATCTGTACTAAAAGCATTTTTTCATACCTAATGTTTCGTTTTTATAAATATTGAACGAGACAGTTACAATGTCATACCAGAGCTGATTGCGCTTTTTATGATTCAAGTTTTGATTTAGTACACACTTAACATACTGTATCTTGAAAATTATGGATATTTTATGATAACATAATTATTTAATTGTTATTAGTTTGGTTTGGTTTGTTATGAATTTCACGCAAAGCTACACGAGGGCTATCTGCGCTAACCGTCCCTAATTTAGCAGTGTAAGACTAGAGGGAAGGCGGCTAGTTATCACCACCCACCACCAATTCTTGGACTACTCTTTTACCAACGAATAGTGGGATTGACCGTCACATTATAACGCCCCCCACGGCTGAAAGCGCGAGCATGTTCAATGTGACGGTAATTATTTAAATCTCTAAATAATATTTTGTTTGTTTGTTTTGAATTGCGCGCAAAGCCACACGAGGGCTATCTGCGCTAACCGTCCCTAATTTAGCAGTGTAAGACTAGAGGGAAGGCGGCTAGTTATCACCACCCACCACCAATTCTTGGACTACTCTTTTACCAACGAGTAGTGGGATTTACCGTCACATATAACGCCCCACGACTGAAAGGGCGAGCATGTTTGATGGGACGAAGATTCGAACCCGCGACCCTCAGATTGCGAGTCGAGCGCCCTAACCACCTGGCCATGCTCTAAATAATTTACAATAATCATTGTCATAGGAAGGGATTTTTGAGTTATCAGGCCATTGCCATATTGCAATTTCTAGGGGGTCTGAGGGCATACCTCACACAAACGTCTTGAAAATTTAATGCTATGAGGTCGAATCTTGAGCCATTTTAACTACAAATACTGCATACACACAATTTAATGTACTGAATTAAAAAAGCAAGTCTTGGTATATAAATTGTAATTATACATGCCATGAAAAGGTGGTCAGGCCATGCCTGACTGGCCTTACAGCTTCCTACGGACCTGATAATTTAACATATAAGCTTACTGTTTCACTTTATAAGTATATGTATATTAAACACATGTTTCGCTAATTATAATGTTTGGCTTAAAATATATTGTTATGCTAACCCTCTATATAAGTAGCTGTGTTATAATTTGTATCTTTAATTTTAACAAATGATTAATAAACGATAATAAATCGTTGTACTACAACTAAGTATGATAAATGAATGACTTACTGTTTAATCAATCACTTTATTCTTATAGAAACTACTTAAAATAACAACACTTACCATTTTTATGATTTTCGAAAGAACATTCACATGAACTACAAAACATACTATACAATTAAAATTCGTAAAATTTTGTGATTTTACAGTACAGTTTAATTAAAAAAATATGTTATGCAAATTAAATATAGTAGTGAAAAGTATACTACAGTATGTTAAATGTGTACTAAGTCAAACGTAAATCATAAAAATCACAATCAACTGTAGAATAATAATAATGTAACTGTCTCGTTCAATATTTATAAGAAAGAAACATTAAGTATGATAAAATCCTTTCAGGACAGATAATTGTAAAAATATACACAAAAAGTCAAGTGAAATATCTATTTGAAATTTTTACCACAGCTTCACCTAAGAGTAAAAGTGGACTGTTTTTAGTTTTTCATCACTTGGGTTAAAGACGGCTGATTTGGAGTAGCAAAACTATAGGGTGTAAGGACGTGCAGATACATAAGTATTGGTTAGGCCAAGCAAACTAGATTAGCAATTTCAAGCTCAAGTTTTCAGCAGAAATTTGCTCAATTTTATGCAGTTCTCCTAATTATAGAGCTTTTAGCGTTACGTGATACTAGCTTAAGCAATTAGCATAAATGGTGATGCTTGATACGACTGTACCGAGTGCATGCGGATGATCATAAGAAACTGTTAATCTAGATTCCATGACATTACTAGCTATTAACACTATTTTAGAGGGAAATACTACCACCATGTATTTTAAAGAATCTGGTTGCTGTGTATTGACAAAAAGTCATGGTATCTAATTAAAAACACCTTAGGTGTGAAAAAAAAAAAAGGTGCAGCCAAAAAAGGATTGAGCGTGAGACTTAAATTAATGAAATCAAAATTGGAGGCCAAACTGATAGCTACACTTATAGCATTGATAAGAATATTACAGCAAATATTCATTTATTAGTTAGACAGGCTGCGTTTTTTGTTCAACTTGGGACATGATGGTGGGTAAGTGTAGCTACCAGTTTGGCCGCCAAATTTTGATTTTATTAATTTAAGTTGCATGCTCAATCCTTTCTCGACTGCACCTTTCTTTCACACCTAAAGTGTTTATGATTAGATACAATATGCTATAATAGTTGTCTCGTTACAATAATGGTTTTACTTGTAACCTTTTAGAACACATAATTAAATCTAGAAGTGAAAACTACAATATTAATGACGTAATAATGTTTTGAGACACATTACACCTTACAGTGAGATCATCATGTTATTAAACTATCCATTTATAGAAACATTATTTGCCTTTGTAAAACGTCTGCAATTAAATATGTAATATTTATGTAATAAATATGTAATAACTATAAACATATGGTGAGACGAGTCGAAATCTGTATGCAGTTCTATGAAAGTATACTAACACCATCCGCCTATAGAAACACCATCTCCTTTTGTAAAACACATATGATACAATTAAATATATATATATATACACTCTACAAAATAGAAATTGAAGACAACATAATAGAAGAAATATTTAATTATTACGAATACTTATGGCAAATATATTGTGTTTAGTCGAGATTGTGTTTAAATCATTATTATTTAAATGGTCACTATAAAAGAATATTAACAAAAACGTAAATACAATGCATACATTTTTCTCTATATCACAAGGTATTTGTGCAAATGATTCTGGGCTTAAACAATGAAAGTGTAACGAGATAATTATTATGCGCATGGAAACAAATTTAAATATTTGGATAATAATTTCATTTGAAATCTAAGTAAACGAAATTACCTTGTGATATAACTAATCTGCTTTTCGACTCAACTGTTTACATCGCTGCAAAAACGTTTCAGGGAAAAATATCTTACAAGATCACTATTGTACTTTCTAAATGTTTGATAAAATATCCAGTTGTTAAGTACAAGAACAGTGTCGTGAAAGGTAAATTGTTATATATTTATATTAATTATTTAAACATTATTAGCACTCAAATTTTTGTAAGGATTTAGTATTGAATTTTAGAGATTTCAAATAAGTAATTCACTAGTTATTAAATAGGAACAAGCTCACAGTTTGAATTGAATCAGAAAGGCTTAGCTTTGTGCATTTAAGGCTGGCTTCAACTTAGCACTGAAAAACTCTTTAAGGTTCCTTATGTACTGCTTATCCAAAGCACAAGAAAAACAAGTAAACCTGTAATTACGTTCTTAAAAACAGCAAACTGCAAAATCTGAGGGATTGACATATTTGGTCAAAGTGACACAAATTATGTTATCAACAAAACTATTACTGAATTCATTAATTTCAAAATATTCTCAATCTTCGTTATTTCTTCAGGTAAAATAGTGTAATTATTAATAATTATACATGCCTGATTTATTAAAACATTCCACAAAGTACTTCAAGAACCTTAAGAACAATATTGTTAAAATTACCATATAATGCACAAAAAAACTGCTTTATTTAAACACACAAGATTGACCAATACATTGTTGACTATGTACAAAATTTCCACTGTAATGCTAATATTTTGATGTCTATATTCAAAGTCAAGGCATGCTCTATATACATTACTACAAAATTAATTTTAATTCCTGGGCTGTTGCATAGACAAGGTGCCTAACTATCATAACAAAGTGTATGGGTTATTTTTTATTATTTATCTATCTCTCTGTGATGATAGATATATAGTATTACTTTTATAGGTAAAACTTTTTCTTTTTGTTAAAGATTAAAATTATTTTGACACAGATGACACAACAGAAAAGGAAGAGTCAACTGAAAACAAATTTGGTCTCCCAAGTGTTCTCCTAGAAATCAACGAAACCATTGTATTAGAATGTAGCATCGCGTCTGAATCTTATCATGTCGATTGGTAAGCTCTTTTTAACACCATTTTCTTAAAAGCTGAATCACTATATTTTACTCTTTTAGTTATTTTAAATTTATATATTCTTCTACTTAAACTTCGACAAATATATAAATCTAAGATATCGAAGAATTGTTTTGGCATATAGGTTTCAAAGGAAAACAGTTGCATTCGTTAAGTAGCATAGCCTTTTACTTGTTTGTTGCTAAGCGCAAAGCCACACAATGGGTTATCTGGTGAGTATCGAAACCCGATTTTTTAGAGTATAAGTCCTTACTCAGACTTATCGCTGAACCATCAGGGAGCTTGTTGTACAGACTAATGCTTTTTTATCAAGGGTGTGTAGATATGTTAGAAAAGAATATAAAACCATACAATGTAAAGTATATTCGATTTATTACTTTCCTTAAGGTGGTTGTTGTATATTGTACGTCAGATGCATCGAATTAATGAAAAAATTATAATATAAAATATTATTTATTGAAACTAATATGATTTATAATTAGACATTAATATAGAAAGTTTTCGATCATGATAAATAAATATACACGATTTCACTTACGAATTTCAAAAAGGTTACTTTTCATAAAACTAGGTTCATAGAAACTCCTCAGGGATGATAGTATAATGTATATCTTAAAACGAGAGATGATGGACTTAATGTAAGCTGGTAAGACAATCTAACAGGCAAGTTTCACTATCCGATAAGATAAGTGTTTACGATAGATGCTATTGGCTACTTGATAAAGTTTGGACGGCTATGAGAAAAGTAACTTTTGTGTAGCTTTGCGCAAAATTTGAAATAAACATACGAACAAACTATAGCTCCTAAAGTATTAATATACGCGGCAATAATGCAACTGTAGCTTTTAACTATCTGATTGAATAAACCTGGAGACATTTTGAAGTGTAAGGAGAAAATATGGAAAATCATTAAAGGAGATATTAATCGAAAAGCCCCTAGTGGCACAGCGGTATGTCTGCGGATTTACAACGCTAGAAATCGGGTTTCGATACCCGTGGTGGCAGAGCACAAGATAGCTCTTTGTGTAGCTTTGTGCTTAACTACAAACAAACAAAGAATTAAGCGAAAAAATTAAATAATTATACTAAAATATTTGAAATAAAGTGATAAAAATATAATGATCAAGAAATAGCATGATTTTAGGGTTGTTCAATCTGTGTTAAATATCATATAAGCCAAATTATGTTGAAGGGTAAAGCCTAATTCTATATCTAATGATTATGTTATACTTAATTATTTGAATAATGAATTTTAACTTTATATAGAATATATAATCTTGAAGGAATAATTTTTATTTCATTAGGTGCTTAATCTTAATTTAAGAGTTTGCTGGGATAAATGGTTAGTTTGTTTCAAATCACTCACTAGTTAAACTCCGGTGGATTTTTTCCCTCTTGTTTCTCTTAGAATTTGATTCAGTTAACCAAAACTCATGATGGCTCAGCGATAAATCTGAAGGCTTATAACACTAAAAATCAGGTTTTGATACACGCGGCGGGTATAGCACAGATAAACGATTGTGTAGCTTTGCTTTTAATAAAGAAACGAACAAAACATTTAACCAATTATATATGGGAAATGAATCACCGATTCCCTTAAGATATATATTTATCAACTGAAGAATGTATTTCGCCTAATTACATATAAATAAAGATTTATTTATTTTCTGTTATAGATATAAATATTCATAAATAACTACAGTTTGTTAGTTCACATATTACTGCAGTTGTTTTATTCAAGAGATGAAAGGGTAATGTATTAGGTTTTTTAAATTTCATGCACGTCTTGTTTTAATATATTTAAGAAGTTTATTCCAGGTACTGGAAATCACCAATTAAGGTTAATTGATATTTTGTTTAATAATATCGCCAATTAAAGTGATTACGTTCGAGATTTAATTATGTAGAATGTGTTAAAATTGGATCTCGACAAAATAGTTACTTAAAATATGCTTTTAACAGCAAATATTAATCTGGAGTTAACTAAAACAGATAAATATAGAAAACTTCTTTCCTATTTCATATTAAAATTCAAATCTTGAAAGTACGTTTTGGTTCTATGATGCTCATTTAGAAACAAAATTGAATACTTTTATCTGTAATAGTGCAATAAATAAAACTACTTAAACAAAATAGAAATGAGTATAAGTTAGTATTTTTCAACCTGGATTTAGTAGAATGAATAGTGTGGTCGTCTACGTTTCAAATGTTTAGAAAACGTCACAGAAAAAGATTGGACTTGATATTATTAGTTTAATATCAAAAGTGTTTTCTAAATTCATTTTGAAACGTTTTATTTCACATGTAATTCTCAGAACATTTATTAAGTACCGTAGCTTTGAAGTCCAAAAAAATATATTTACAGTGTATCCGATATCTTTGCCCACGCCCCCAGTGGCACAGCGGTATGTCTGCGGATTTACAACGCTAGAAACCGGGGTTCGATACCTGTGGTGGGCAGAGCACAGACAGCCCTTGTGTAGCTTTGTGCATAATTAAAAATAAACAAACAAACAATCTTTGCCCACCGCAGAGTAGAGAATACGTCCGCGTTACTTCTGTATTTGGAAACCACTTGGATTAACTTCAGTAAAATATTCGTAGATACTACTTATCTTTATATATAAAGGGAATGACTTAAGTAATATTATCATGACGAGAAGTAGACGGGTCTTCTATATTTACAAATATAAAGTTTATCATTAAAACCCACTAATAAAGATTTATCGATAATATTTTTGCAGTACGAATATAATGTGAACACTTTAATTAATTCTTGAAGAAGACGTATGAACGGTGTATGTATGTGTATTGAAAAGTATAACATGTTTTATTTCAATATTGTCAATACGAATACAGCACCTTTGTATGTACGAAATAACTGCATCTTTAAGGTAGATTCATTAAGATTGTAGGGCGAATATGACAAATGTATGAAGCCTCACTAAGGAAAAATAGTTGTTTGCAAAAATCATTTCTCGAATTCCAGTTTTACAACTTATCAACTCCTTGAAATTATTCAAGTTTTACAATATATCAACTCCTTGAAATTATTCAAGTTTTACAATATATCAACTCTTGAAATTATTCAAGTTTTACAATATATCAACTCCTTGAAATTAGTCAAGTTTTACAATATATCAACTCCTCGAAATTATTAATGAAGTACTCAAATCACTTATCAAACAATCTTGGTAGAACTACAAATAATTCTAAGTATTCAAGTCTATAGATTATTCTACTTCTAGCGTAGAGAGTGAAGCATATGCTGAAAAAAAGGATACGAATAACCATGAGCATGCACGGAGCATAATCTGGGTATACCAAAAGTAGTTGAAAAAGTTATAAGGTGAAGAAAAATACGTGATCAGCGTTTCAGCCCAGAACCTTTACCAGGAGGGAGTCTCACATTTATAATTTGGAAAGTTCAAACACTTAAAATTGGAACAATCATAAGGACACAAAAAATGGCAATAAAAGTATTCTGAGTTATTTTTTTAATTATCATTAATATAACTCAATAATTTTCTCAAAAATATGTTTTTTATAGATAATAAAGCGAATACTGAAACTAGCTCAGTGTCCCCTAATAAAGCGGCTTGGCACTTTCTGTAGAAACGTGGAATGATGTATTGATTAACTCCTTTTGGCTGCTTGGACACCTTCTTTAATAGCGTGGTAGTGTACAACCGTGGAATGTCCGTACTGACCAGCTTCTCGCGTATTTTTCTTTTTCTTAAGTGAATTTTTAAGTTGGTGAGTATTATATACTGCAATACTCATCAGGAAAACAAAAACAAACTTTCGTGGCTCAATCCAGTTCGCCTGACTCTCTCTTCTGATGGTAGTGAGTGGAAACTTTTATTTGTAACAAAGTACAACAAAATGTATTACAGATACTATTATACAGTATTTTTACTGTCAATAAAGAATAGTATGATTAAAAGTATTAACACTTTTACTGCAATGGATATCACTCTTGTTATTCGTTAAGCTAACTCATGTAAGTCGTGTAAGATATTAGAATAACTACAGCAGGCATTTCTTTTGCCCTGCAAACAACTTTCACGGGACTAGGACTAATTCTCAACGTTCAAGTCTTGCATAGTATTAAGCTTTTAGAATAACCAGTGATATGTATAAGAATACATGGACCTCTTTGAAATCAACTCTGAAGATGATTTTATATGGAACCTTTCTCATCCTGGAATGACATATTGAAAACAATTCTGACCCTTGAATGACATATTGAAACAATTCTTACCCTGGAATGACATATTGAAAACAGTTCTTACCCTAAAATGACATATTGAAACAATTCTGATTCTGGAATGACATATTGAAAACAATTTTGACCCTGGAATGACATATTGGAAACAATTTTGACCCTGGAATGACATATTGAAAACAATTCTTACCCTGGAATGACATATTGAAAACAATTTTAACCCTGGAATGACATATTGAAAACAATTTTAACCCTGGAATGACATATTGAAAACAATTCTTACCCTGGAATGACATATTGAAACAATTCTGATCCTGGAATGACATATTGAAACAATTCTTACGTACTGGTCTAAAAAATAGTTTTTCTTCCGGTCATTATTTATAACTGTGCGTTTAGAGTAACAGCTAGCTTCTAATACCTTATATATTTTTGTGTAATATGGACTTTTCAAATCATTTTTTGAAATCTATTATCATGGAACGTTTGACATTTTGAACATGACAATAATTCAACCCAATAGAAGAAACTGGACGTTAATGAATAACATCTATCCATCTTTGTATTCATTAGGTATAAAAATGGCAACAGAATCACAGCGAGTAAGTTTTCTAACAAAGAAGTAGAAGGAAACCGATTAATTATCAGAGAAGCCCGAATATCTGACGGAGGTGAATATATGTGCATGGTTGACGATCCTGAGTATGAAGGCGCCAGTATGGGAACTGTCATGCATGTTAGATGTAAGTTCTCTTTGCTCTAATTATTTAATATAAAACAATAATCTTTATCTTATCGAGGTTTTTTACTTATAAATACTTGAAACTGTAAGTAGTTTACGCAAGTTTCTTGTATAATTGCATATGTTCTACTGTGATACTATTTATGTATATAACATATATACGTTTCATAAGAACTAAGAAACTTACTTATGTATTTTTATAAAGTAGTTTTTATAAAGTAGTTTACGCAAGTTTCTTGTATAATTGCATATGTTCTACTGTGATGCTATTTATGTATATAACATATATACGTTTCATAAGAACTAAAAAACTTACTTATGTATTTTTATAAATAATCCATTTGAAATATTCATGGAAATTAAAAAGAAAAACAATAGTTATATAACATATTAGAATAAATCAAGTCTGAGAACAAATCACCCATGCATTAATTTTCACCCAGATTAAACCATAAATTGATGTCAGTTTCATTCAAAAGCAAGCCTCATATTCAGAGGGCTGGTCACCTTTATCAAGAAAGTTATACATATGGTAGTGATTCCACACATTGGCTGGCTCAGCAGTAAGCCTGAGATCTTATAATGCTAAACCTCGGGTTTCGATACCTGTGGTAGGCAGAGCACAATAACTCATTGTGTATCTTTGTGCTTAACAACAAGTGAACAAAGAAATGGTAATGCGGTGATGTGTTACCTCAAGTGCGAGTCGTCGTGGAATGGATAGAGATATGATTGGAGGAAGTAGAAGTAAAAAATGTTTCAATGGAAGGATATTCGTATTATGTTGTTACCTTTAACCTGTACTACACATTTAAATTACCACATACTGTATTATATTCAGCCCGTACTGACATTTTACATTACTATATATATTATGATATTTTAAACCTGTAAAACATTTCTAAATTACCATATACCGTAATATCTTCACCTGTTCTACACATTTACATTACTATGTATTGTATTATCTTCACCTGTTCTACACATTTACATTACTATATACCGTATTATCTTCACCTGTTCTACATATTTACATTACTATATACCGTATTATCTTCACCTGTTCTACACATTTACATTACTATGTATTGTATTATCTTCACCTGTTCTACACATTTACATTACTATGTATTGTATTATCTTCACCTGTTCTACATATTTAAATTACTATGTATTGTATTATCTTCACCTGTTCTACATATTTAAATTACTATGTATTGTAGTATCTTCACCTGTTCTACTCATTTAAATTACTATGTATTGTATTATCTTCACCTGTTCTACACATTTAAATTACCATATACTGTATTATATTCAGCCCGTACTGACATTT